TCGTGTATTGAAATACCAAGTTCAAGTACTCTTTCGTATGAGTGGTACCCTTGATTTGAGTGGATCTTTGATTGTTGTTTCTTATTTACTCAGAACTGAAACTTACACGGGGGTTAAGGACTTTATGGATGACCTACCTTTAGAATTACAAATTAGGTTGGCGGGGCATTAAGATTTCAATCCTAGATCAAAATTTTATCATTCCATGAAAGTTTCTTTGCTCAAATCTGTCTCTTATGCTTCTAACAATAACATCAATACTATGGTGTTAGTTATCTAGATTGTTTTGTATAAAAGAGTAGGTAAATTATTGAGTTGAAGATGTTGTGATCCTGGAGGTTGACATGGTCATAATTCCTGCAAATCCGTCTCTTATGCTTTCTAACAATGATGTCTATACTGTGGTTAGTTATTCTGGATTGTTTTGTATAAAAGAGTAGGTAAATTATATGACTTGAAGATGTTGTGATCCTGCAGGTTGACATGGTCATAATTCCTGCAACAACTGGACAGATGGGTGTTCTTCCCGGACATGTGGCAACAATTGCAGAGCTGAAGCCTGGGGTCATGTCTGTGCATGAAGGGAATGAGGTGACCAAATACTTTGTTAGTAGTGGCTTTGCGTTCATCCACGCAAACTCATATACAGATATAATTGCCATTGAAGCCGTGCCAGTTGACCAAATTGACCCTACCCTGGTCCAAAAGGGTCTTGCGGATTTCACACAAAAACTTAGCTCTGCCACCACAGATTTGGAGAAAGCCGAAGCCCAAATTGGAGTGGATGTGCATAGTGCTCTCAATTCTGCTCTCTCAGGCTAGTAATACTAGCTCTTGCTCCTTGATTAAATAATTGTTATCACATTACCCTCTTTTAACATCATTTGTGTGCACCTGAATGTCTGTCCCTTGACAAAATCTGATTTGGACTGTTTTCTCTCTCTCTCTATGGTGAATGTGGGAATGATATACCATGTTGGGTGGTTTTCTTTTTTCTTTTTTTATTTATTTATTTTAGGAAATGTTGGCTGTTAACAGTTGTTTTGGAGACTGTTGAGTCGGTGATAATAAGGAAAACAATAGTTTGGTATTAGAAACCTGTTAGATCAATTGTGGCTTGCATTCTTTTTGGAAGAATTCCAAAATAGCTATTTTCAAAAGCCCTTTTTTTGATTGAAAATAATTCTCTGTGGAAAATGAAATGGTATTAAACGCGAGAATCTGTAGAAATCAGGAGGGGCCTCTCTCTCTATCTCTCTCTCTCTCTCTCTCAAGTGTTGAGGCTAGGGCAAAATTTGTATCTGTAAAGAATGCGGTGAACTTCTTTTATTTATTTTCATTTTTTATTGGTTATGGCTAGTGGTGATTGTCATTGATTCCTTGCCTCTGCTACTAGCTACCTCTCTCATATCATGTCTATTGCTGAAAACCTATTCTTGCACCTGCTGTCCAATGTGGTTTTTATCTTTCCAGCTTCTTTTTGAAGCTTGTGCTTTTCGGTGGAAAAGGAATGCAAAGTTGAATTTTAATATCACATTTGTTTTCTTTTTTCCAATAAACAAACATTTGAAAAGTTACCTTTAAGGTCCTTTTTCTTTTGGGCTAATAATGGGGCACAAGCCCACGAGTGCTTGGTCACTGTGCATTAATATATTAGAGATAAAACTTGTTTGTTCAGAAAATCTCCGGTGTCTTGCCTAGCAAGTGCATTACAATTGAGAAAGATGAGTTTTTGGGTTTTCCATTGGCAGAAGGTGTTTGAAGAAAAGACCCTCAATTTTCTAGGGATGCTTAGGTGGTGTTTGCAACCGTTTTAGAATATTAGATGTTGAAATTTAAAGTAAGAGTGGTTAAAAATAGATTATTACAAAGTTTTTGAAAATAGAAAAATAAATGTTTGAGATGTAATTTTTATAATTTATTTAAAGAGAAGAAATTTTTTTTAAAATTTAGAAGTTCTGAAAAAATTTTATGAGAAATTTTGAATGTAAGAAAAATTTTAAAAAAATTTCAAAACAGTTTTTATTTAATTATAATAATGTCATTTATAGATGAAGTACTCTTTCTCCAGATTTCTAATTTTACTTTGTTTTACTTAAATAAAAAGAAACTATTTAAAAATAAATTTAAATATTTTAAAAATAATTATGCATAATAAAAAAATTAAAATTATTTCTTTCAGAAATAAACATCTCAAAAACCTACATCCTAGACGAGTAAGTCATGTTCCTTTCAGGGAAGTTAAACTTCATGACTTTCAAGGATTTCTTTTTGTTTGATAAACACAAAAGCCTGAAAACCAAACAATCCCTTGGGGGAGTTTGGTTTCTCCCAAATTATAATATTTAAAAGAGGAAATGAGTTGCGATTGGATGGGAGAAGGTGAACCCATCCCCAGTTTTGGGGGTCGGCCCTGCGGACCAGGATGATTTTTAAGAAAGGTGGATTTTGAAGGAAATTATCGTAGAAGATACGAGTTGAATTATTAGTTAGTTAGTGGTGAAAATCAGCTGCTTGATTGCCGGTTTTGGACAGGATTTGTTACTCAGCAAGTTGGGGCCTGCCAACAGATTGAGAATTCTAGACAACAGTGGCAGCGGCATCCTTTGTCGTTGTCGCCGACGTTGTTGTCGTGTTCTTGGTACATAAACTAATAAAAAAAAGAAACATAAAAATCATAAGACGCATAAAGTTTTGATTTAATTAACAATCAAATGTTCTGATTTGACAACCCCCTTGCCACCCACTCAACTTTTCACTAAAATATCAGTAACCCAACCCTTCCTCTAGCTAAAAAAAATGCATTATGTGTTCTCCCTCCCTCCCTCCCTCCCTCCCCCCCCTCTCTCTCTCTCTCTCTCTCTCTCTCTCTCTCTCTCTCTCTAGATATATATATAATATATATATATGATCTATATATATATATATTCTATTTATATGAGAAGTTTAATCTCATGGGAGAAACTTTTCGAGAATTGGGGCCATAACACAACCTCAAATTTTCTTTCTTTTTTCCCTTAAAGAACATTAAATTGACAAATGTTTTTTGGATTCAAGGCGTGATACATTTGTCTCCAGTTGGTTAATTTAATGCTTTATGGAAATTAAATAGAATATATATAATTACTTAAAAAAAATATTTTTAAATATAACTTTTATTTTATAACTAGATATGCTTTTTTATTAATATAAAAATAACGCGCCAAAAATAAAAGAATAATCATGTACCTAGTTTAGAAAATTTAAGAAGTACACATGTATTTTTAAGGTTTAACATATTTAGATTTAAAATATAGTTATAGCGTCGTATCTTTACCAAAAATATAAAAAAAAAGTATTATATTGTAGAAGTTTAAATATAATTATAACGTGCAAATAATATATGTATTTATTAATAAGGGTCTCAATAACATTAAAGAGGAGCCCACCCTCAAAATTTGTAAGTAAAATTTTATACTATAAATTTATTGTAAAATATTTTCCCTAATTTTTTAATTTTATATCTACTAGAAAATGTATAAGAATAAATTTAAAATATATAGATAAATTTAAAATATTTCTAGTTGAGAGAGTCAATTAAAAGTCTGAAATAAAATAAAAATAATGTTAAGAGACTATTTTAAAATAATTGATGAATTTCTATGGAGTAAAATGCAAAATTATGAATACTCTCACGTCAAACAATTCGCTGTTCACATTTTTTCTCACGTGATTAATCAATCTTCATTCAGAAGAAATGTGTTTCTATTTTGCATCAATTAAACCTTTTGTTAACCATTTGTTCGTTGATTGTCATTCTAAATCTTTGCTTATCAATAAAGGTGAGTGTGGACAAATTTTGGTGGGTTTATAAATAAAACTTATCCTGACCTGACATAAATGGGTAATAAAAATCTCAAACCACACTTGTCATATTACTCTTTTCAACTGTGTGGCTCAAGGTGATCAAGTATGGGTGATTTCGTGGGCAGGTTGATAGGTTGATTCATTAAAGTCATTAATATTGAAAATAGTTCATATATGTCTCTAATTGAGGTTATTCTTTATTATTAATGTAATTACAATTAAATTAAAATTTAACCAATAAAATAAAAATGATTTTAAATTACAGAATGTAAAGTATCAATGAAAGTTATAAAATGCAATATTTTTTCTATATTTATTAGACAAGTGTAAGGGCAACTTCTTAACATAAATACATTAAATATTTAAAATGCAATTTGATTAAAAATATAAGGCTTTAACTAAATAATTGAAATGTTATGATGTAAAATAAAATAATTATTAACTATAAGTTATCCTTATTAAATATAAAGAAATTTTTAATCGCAAAAGTTATGAAGTGTTAAGTTTCCAAACGTAGAGATAATTAGATGACTTTGCATTTGCAAATGAGAATAATTGAGAAAATAATGATAAAATCTCAACTAGTTTGATTATTATCGAAGAGAAGAGTACAGTTATGGAAAATAGAAATAAGATCAAATGCAAATAAATGATAATTATAGTCATTAGAAAATAATAAATAAATTTAGTAAGTGGTATTAAACATTTAATTGACTTATATATATGGTAAGCGAGTCGAATAGTGATAGATTTTTAAACTTAACTTGCTACCCAACCAAACTATAAGTGAGTTGCAAAATTTTAAATTGTTATAAAGTAAAAATTAATGTAAACTAATAAGTTACGAGCAGGTGCTGGTAAGTTAGGTTAGGTAATTTTATGCTCACCTCTACTCATTCTCTTCTTGCGGCTGCACAAATTGGAGAGGCGTGTTGATAATTGTATACTTTTTGCGACTACCTTTCCATCTATAATTACCTTTGCAAAAAGCAGTGAGAGGTTACAATGGTGAAATAAGGCCGACAATAATGGACTCTTAGACCGTAAAAGGTAAAATAGGAAATGGCAATAGTGACAAGCTGTGCGATGGTAAAAGGCCACAATGACGAACTTTGCCAATACAAAAGGTGGAACAGGAAGGGGCAACGATGTTTAACTCTTAAGCGATAGGCTCTGCACCAACTAATCTTTGAATCCTAGTTCTGCCACTGAGTCAAGGTGACCAAAGAAATTTTTTTCCTTCAGAATCACAAATATAAAAGGAATTCAGTAAATCCAGCAGGAAGTTGCATAATATATTCAAATTAAATTCCTGATGTGGGTAAATTTTCTAAGCTTGTATTCCCGTAGGCCACGTGGATGGTTGGGATTGGTGTAATTAGCCAATCAGGGAGAAATTAGACGTGGTGGAAGATTAATATGACGAGTTCTACGTGTACAATGCCCTTCATTAGGGAGTCGCCTCAAGCACCGTTAATTAAATAATTAATTATATGATTTTATCAAAATAAATATTTAAAAAATCTCCAACTTGCCTAAAAATCCATCACCTACGTCCAAACAATCCCACGTGCTGTCACTGGCTGCGAGCTCTGCCGTTGATCTCTTTGACCTGTGAGTCGGCTCCGAGAACGTAGAACGAAAAGAGGTCGTCTCTGTAACACACGTGCCTCCCGAGGCAGATATTCTGCTGTTCCTTTGGTACCCTGACGAGGACTCACGTGCCGCAGCCCCTGCCCATGGTCGCTGCGGGCAGCACGGGACAGCGACTCGGAGACAGCGCTGCCTGTACGGTCCGAGGTGGGCCCCGTCCGACTCAGCCCCGAGCTGGGAATGACGGAACGGACACGCCGGAACTGTGGACTTGAGACAAGAGTGAAGTGGAGCGACGTGGCATGGGCCCTACTCCTAGCTGTTTTTTTTAAAAAAAAAAAATTGAGGAAGCAAAATATATAAATTATTTATTGTATTTATTTTCTCAATTTTTGTTAAATTCGTACTCTTATCAAAATATCTTAGAATTTTATTAAATTTATTAAAAAATAATTTCTGTTAGAATTTTTTTAAAAAAATTTAAGTTTGAAATTACTAGAAGGCCATCTGGCCGTCGGTTGGTGATGGACTAATCCCCCGTACCTGTGGGCTGGCTCCCCACTCCCGTTTTGCCCATTCGTCCGCGCCATTTTATGTTTCTGCCCCCTAAGTTTTGATGTGTTTCATTCAAGCCCCACTTTCACCATGCCTTATTTGAAAAAATGTGTAATTCACGTCTTATTTGATAGACGTTTTAGTTCATTGGATTTCCATGAGCCATGATAAGAAAGAATCCACAACGTCGTTTAATTCTCTGTGAATACATAATTTACACATTAAAAATGTGCAAAATTTGATTTGATTTTTCAATTAAAGTTTTTGTAAATTGAAATTAAACTGAACATTTTGGTTTTTTACTATTGAAAGACCAAACCATACTTTGAAAAGCAGTGAAATACCTAGTTTCAGTTTGATTTTTGATTTTCTCAAGTTGTTTGCACACCTTTAGGTGGGAAGTGAAGAAAACATGAATAAGGCGTGGTTAAACTCAAAAATATAAAATCCTAAGGACTCATAAGAAATATAATTTAAGTTGGGGGACCCAAATTAGATGCCTTCATCCGAGCAGCCATTGGATTTAACCCCTGGATTCTGGAAAACCACCCTCTGCCCCACGGTTTTGTTTAATAATTTCAGGGTGGGTCCCCACACCATCAAAGTTCAAGTGTTCCGCGGAACACCACAGGAAGGTGGTCCCTGGGCTCCTCACCAATCAAGCATTGACTTTTCCCAAGTAGATGGAAGTCAAAACTAGGCCGGTAATGGTTCAGAACCTACCAGATCCAACAAGTCTACACTTGGACCGGACCAATATAATGAGTTTTAATTTGATTTTATAGGTAACTTCTTCATAACATGTGAATATCATGCACATATAATTTAAATTTATTTATAAAATAATGTAATTTTATTTAATAATATAAAATAAAATTTTAAAATATTTTAACCAATGTCCAGATTATCAGTATTACTTTTTTTATTTATTCTTTACAAAAATTAGCATGGCCGAACTAAATTTTATATAAAAATTGGTTCCAAACTCAACTCCCAACAGGCTTAAAATTTATTTATTTTCATGATATCTTTAAATTTATTTGTTTTAATAAAAATCTATATTGTTAATATAAAAATTCAATTTATTATTTATTTTTAACTAAAATTATTTAATATTAAATTTTAATTTATTAAAATAAAAATCCTAATATTCATAAAATTAAAATTAATATTTAATATTAATTTTACATCACTACAAGTAATAATATACTACTGACCCATGTCAATAGTGATTTCAGTAGGGCTGATCTGTACTTGTGTCAGTCAAATTCGGTCTGGTGACAGCTTTACTCAAAACAACAAAGCGATCTGATTGGAGGAGAACACGAATCTCACCCTCTTCAGTCATGTACCTGATCATTCAACCCCACTCTCTTCCACCCATATAAAACCAGACCACTGCCTACCTTGGATTCTCAGCTTCGCCTTCAATATCTCTCTCTCTATCTGAGCACCAGGCTCATCTTATAAACCACCTGCAGCGCCACTGAGTCACCTTCCAATTTCTGAATACTCAATAGAGACAGGCAATGAGATCGGCCATGCTATCCTACCCGGGTGCGGAAAGCACCACCACATGCAGCCATATTTCCTGGAAGCTTGTTATCTTTGCCAGAAGCCCTGGGTCGGAACAATGATATTTTCATGTACAGGTCAGCCTAAAAAACAAATTAAACCCCAGATTTAATATTAAATTTTGAGAATTTTAAGAATTTTCTTAGACGGTCGGATTGGATTTTTGCAGAGGAAATACGCCGTTCTGCAGCCAAGAGTGCAGACAAGAACAGATGGAGATGGACGATGCCCAGGAGAAGAAGGCATGGAAAACCTCTTCTTCTTCCAAGAAGGCGCTCAGGCAAGCTGCAACTGAAGCCGCCAAGAAGACGGGCACGGTAGCCGTGGTTTGAGCCGCCCTTTCCTCCTCCCTGCCGCGTATAGAGCCGAGAAAGCCATCGCTCGGCTTCTTCTATGACCTCTTCCTCCCAAAAGAAATAAAAGAACAGAAGAAAGAAAATGAGGTTTTGGTGGGTCTGGAAGAGAGAGAAGAAGAAGGAAGAGAGACACAGAGACAGACATGAGAGGTCCGAAGGGCCTTCTTGTTGATGATGATGTTTTTTCTTTTTCTTTTTCTGATGTTGTTCGGGTTGTGAACAGTGATGGTATTTGCAATCATCTTTATTTTCACTTCTATGCGCAAGCAAAATATTTAAGTGGGTAAAAATATTTTTTTATATTCTTGTAATTAAATTCCATAATATATATAATAAAAAAAATTAAAAACTAGAAATGGAAATAAATTCAATGAAGCTCATGCTTTTGCAACTTGTTATCTTTACCCGTGACTCTTTTTTAAAGGTAGGATCCTCTAAATTGTTAAAAAAATAAATAAAATAAAATATTTAACTTTTTGCTCTGAAAATTTCAAATTTTGAGACTTTTTTTAAAAAAATCTATTTAAAAAAAGAATTAGTTTTGATTTTTATGATTAAAAAATAATTTTTTAGATTTTTTAAAAAGGTCCTAAATTTTATGGGTGAATTTTTTTTTATTTTTTGCAATTATTGGTACATCAAAGCACTTAATAAGCCGTAATCCAATTGGGAAATTTATCAAAAAACCAAAGTCATAAACTTTCAGGGGCAATATTGGTATATTAAGCAAAAAAAATATAAGGACACAAAATAACAAACGGCAAACTAAGAAAACTAACAGATGCTATAAAGACCGAAGCAATGACCTCTAACAGTGACAAGTGGTAGAGACAATAAACTTCAATGTTGAGGGCTTCATGCCAAAGAAGGAAACCTTGTTTGGTAATTGCATTTCTACAATCTCATTTATTTATCCTTTTGGGTTCATTTGGCTTCAATGTAAGAACAAGTTCACTAGAAAATGGTGAATTGGGCAAGTCTTCCATCTCTATTTTTAATTCTCTGATACTATTTTTGAGAGTACAGTTTTTATATTTTATAAAAAGTAAATTTCATAAGTTAACAGGAAAAGTGAATATTTTATTTATATGTTTGAAAATTCTAATATGAGAGTTTAGAACATTTTTGTTTTTCTTTAAGATATATGATTTATATGTGGAGAGAGAGGAGAGAAGTAAGATTTTAATGGTCAGTTTGAGAATTAAGAAGGGAAAAGAAATAAAAAGATTTTTATATTTTTTTCTTTTTGTTTGGATAATTGGAAATGAGTGGAGAGAATATAGTATATGATAGTTATTTTTTTTATATTTCTATGTTTAGTTGGGTAACTTCTAATGTTTAAAAAATTTTAGGGATAATGATATTTTCTGTTCTTAAATTTATCTAATTTTTGAGAGATTTCAAATGGGCATTGTAAAGGATTTGGATTTTTTTTTTTTTTCAAATCCTCTTTGTTTTGGCTCCTTGTTTCTTTCATAAAACCCAACTCCAACAAGTGATTTGGGGGAAATATATATAATTTTCCTCTTCTTTTTTTCCTTTTCAAATCCCCCAGTCATCTATTGAATTTTGCCATATTTCTCTGTTCATGGAGAAACTTTCCCATTCTTATTTATTCGATCAAATGTGCTTGTGGAATGCCTTTTATTTCCAAGGTGACAAAATTGTAGTCACCTAGCAAAAAAGGGAACAAGAAGGGAAGAAAAGTTCTTCTTGATCTATGACATTAATTTAACATTTGCTCACTTATTTTTAGTAGGTGAAGATTATAAGAAAATAATTTCGACTTTGAGTATCTTTTTATTCTATCAAGAATTCATGCCTTTCTTCCTGCATATATTACACTTAGACAGGAGAGTTAGGGGAGGAGGATAATTTCTATACTTTATCCCTCCAATTGACCCAACCAGGGGAGTGATCTTATTGAAATTAGGAAAGTTTCTGATCTTAATTTTTATGAGTTTTATCTTGAACACATACCCCCATTTTTAAAATTAAATATCGAAAGCTCCGTTCTCTAGTATTTTTGAAACTATCTCAAAAGCGTATACTTCAAAAAAATAAAATATTTACTTTTTATACTGAGTAATTTCAGGACCAAATTGCCCCACTTCTATAAAAACATAAAAAAGGAGGGATCTGCTAACCGGGGGTACTTGTTTTTGCTGAATATAGAAACAAAATATAAGTACATTATAAATACACACATATATTGTACATATATATATATATATATCTGATCCAGAATTTCTAAAACTAGACCCTTTTTCAAAAAACTAAAGAGTTGTTAGAATACCGAGAAATTATCTTCCCTGGAAATTGAAAAGAATATGAAAATGAATTAAATAATACGTGTTTCCCGATTTTCAGTATTTTCTGTGTTGACAATCACAGAAACCCAAAAACAGAATAGAAATCCGAGCAGACCATAGTCTTCATAACCTCTCTTTTTCGGGTAAAAGCAATCTATTATATTTAACAATACCTAGCTGCTAAATACATTCATAACCAAAACTTAAGCAGAGTGAGAGACAGAGAAACAGAGCATAGCATCTTTCATCCTAACAATATACATCATCAAAACATTTTCTAAGTCACCTTCGTCCTCTGCAAGACCATAAATTTCCTCCTTCCGAATTCCCCGACATGCTCGCTCAACTTTGCCAACTGTGCCATCCTTCTCTTCGCTGATTCCACTGGTCCTGTTTGCTTTGGGCTCCCTTCTGAGTCAACCATGTCATCTTCAACATCATTGCAGACGTTATCAGATGGGCCTGCTTCATCCAAGACCTGCATTATCTGCTTCAACCGATCCACCACTTGACTCATCATAGGCCTCTCCTTTGCATTCTTCACCAAACACGAGTCTGCCAACCTGGCAATTCTCCTAGCTGCATTGAGAGAGAACTGGTTCTCTAGCCTTGGGTCCATTATCAAGGGAAACTTCCTACTATCTGCAGGAATTGTTTCACCCACTCTAGAAGCTTCTGCTCTGTTTTGGGGTAGTTTCTTTCCAATGAGCGCCTCCCAGTGAGGATCTCATATAACACCACACCAAAACTCCATACATCGCTCTTGCTTGTCAGATGTCCAGTCTGGATGTAGTCCGGAGCCGCATATCCATATGTTCCCACCACCTATTTAAACGCTGAAGTTCTCATCATTGTTTTCATCCAAATTTATATCTCAACTATAACTATGCTGTTGAAGCTTTTATTAAAACCCTCCAATATCCCATTCTCTACCTCTCTCCTGACAAAGCCCCTTGTTCCACATTTGTTTCAGTTCAAAAAGAAAATGCCAGATCTTTCATGAAAAATAAGACCAAAATCAGAGCTTTTCTTAGAGAAAAAGGGCCAAGATTACAGGCTTTTCCCCAAAACAAAGCTGGACTTTTTAAGTTGCAGTATGAAATTTGCCTTAAATTAGATGTGCTTTTTGCAAGAAACCCAAATACCGAAAACAAAAAAGAAAGTGTTTTTCCTGAGTAATTAAACATAATAAAAAAGGTGAATTTTAAAAGAGCCCATAAAACCAACAACCATAAATCATATCCAAGTCTAGAATGAGAATACATGTATTATATTTATTTATTTAGGTCATTCATCAACACAGCTACGATTGTTGTTTCTGAAATAGTTCTCCCATAGTTCATTCATAGACAATTGAGCTATTTTACCCAAGTAATAATAATAATAAGTTAACAAAAAACCATGGACTTACTGGCTGTCGAGACATGAGTCTGCCCATCTGTCGGCCCCTCCCGGGCAAGCCCAAAGTCTGAAAGCTTTGGCTTGAAATCCTCATCCAGTAGCACATTTGAAGATTTAAAATCTCGATATATGACCTTATTAACAAAAGCAATCACACATCATAACAGTCAATAAAAAAGTGCAAAATTTTTCAAAATGAGAGTTAATTTTTCATAACTAGTACCGTGAGTAAGTTTACAGGATATCAAAGGGACAATTCCATGGTGAAGTCAAAAAATTATCACCAGTGATAGCAGAAATTTACTTCAGTGGAGGCATTGTTTCATCAATATCCTATGGCCATAATTACATTTCAACATTATCAATAGCCTAGATCTCCTCTCCTATTATATGCTTGGAAGTGATTCAAATTGTCATACAGATCCACATTCTAATGAAATTCTAACCTTGACATTTTCCTTAATCCAAAGTATGCCAAAATAGCCATTCAGAAGGATAACCAACAAAGGGAAAAAGTAATTAAAAAAGAAAAAAAGGAAAAAGAGATTGGTAAGAAAGCCTCAGTTAAACAAAAGAAGGAACAACTCTCTTTAGGGCAATACAAAAATTCAGGTAGATTACAGATCCATATGCTTTCTGATCATATGGAAAATTTTAACATTAGTCTTTATGAACTTCAAAACTACAGCATTTACCCTGAACTCCCCCTTTAATACCCCTTTTTTTAAGATTTCTTTACTGTATGTTTGGGAACTTTGGGGGGGGGGGGGGGGGAGGAATTAAAAGGAATGAAAGAAAGAAAGAACTGATATCAATTTCTTTCAATGAAGAGAAAGAACAGAAAAGAAGGGGTCGTGATTTATCTCATTGTTTGTGGAGAGGATTTTAGGACAAAACGAGTCATTGAATTTCCTTTTTTTCTATTTTTAGTTGGGTAAATTATAAAATTTCAAGTAAAAAGCAATTGCATTTTCTCTGCAAGTCTAATTGAATTTTGGAGGGATTCTAAATCAGTGTTAAGAGGGGTTTGAATTCTCTATGCCTCTCTTTGTTTTCACTCATTTCTCCCATGAAATCTAACCCAAACAAATGATTTGGGAGGAAAGAATCCTAAACTTTTCTCCCTGAATCACTCAATCCAAAGATGATGTGAAAGTAGATAATGTTCATAAAATGCAGTGCTAAATCACCTTGTCCATATATTTTTTATAATCATAACTAACTCTAACTGAAGGCAGAAGGCTTAAGTTAAAACATATAGGCCTTGTGTAATCCCAAACCAGGGAAATCAAATGAAATTTGATTTCTCAAGTCCAATGTTTGATTTCCCTCAAACCAGGTTTATTACTTTATTGAATTTCGTAAACCCAGAAACTGGTTTCCTAAAGCCCACCTTCTAAGGTGAGTTTCAAAAACCAGTTTTTAAACCCCTCTTCCCTGAACCCACTTTAATCCCCTCTCTCCAAACCCACTTTTAATCCCATCCTATCTTAAACCCTCCACACAGTACAAACTCATCGGTGGCAAAGTTTTGTAGTAAAACCTGAACTTCTAATTCTTCATGCAAATAAGCCAATCCTTGAGCAGCTCCAAGTACAATTTCCAGTCTCCTTTCCCAAGGAAGAGCAGGGAAAGCCTTATTGAAGAGATGATCTTCCAAGCTTTTGTTTGGCATGAACTCATACACAAGTAGCCGTTGCATTCCTCTTTCCCCTTCAAAAGCACAGTATCCAATAAGTTTGACAAGATTTGGGTGCTCTACAACTCCAAGGAATTGTACTTCCGCCACCCATTGTTTATGCCCCTGCAATAAATAAAAAGAACCATAAGACATTAGCAATCTTAAAACAGAGACATAGAAATCTTTTCCAGTTATTACAACTAAACAAAATGTCATTTCCACATGTTAATACCTAAAGTCCAGCACATAGGCTGCACAACAGGGGCAGAAATGAAATATAAGTCAGTAAGAAATAAATTTTAAAAAAAAAAGTCATAGCTTATGTGAGATTTTTAACCAATTCACCATGCTCCACATTGCATTCATAAAGTCATAACTTGGGAATAAAGTCCAAATGTAGAAGTTTGCTCAAGAATTGGGTTCAATCATTGTGTTAATACAGATGAATTTGCATCATGAAGGCCAACCAAATATATAATTTCTTTGTTAATAAATAGCAAAGGAGGCTGAGCAAAAGAAAAGAATAGGATTTTCCCTTTTCATTAACATTTTTTCATATTGTCATTCAGATACACAAATAAAAGAAATTATTTAAGAGAACTAATTGCAGATGCAGCAATCTTACTTTCCCTCAATGCTTCAAAGTCAAAAGTTTGATCCTAAACCAAGTCGTGCTATGGCATGATGCTCAAATGTTACACAATTGCTCAGTTAGAGAGTGGATATAAAATAGTATTACATATCCAAAATGCCCCAGTTGCCCAAGAAGCTGAAGATGCAAGTTACTAAATAGCTCAATAGTACTAGTATACCATTTCTAATGTGCTCTTAACTGTTTCCCATTTTGAATCTCCTAAAGCTTTGATACTACATCAGATCTGAATTCATTTGAAGCGCTTACTCCTCCACTCCCTACCTCCCAATTGCTTTGAAACCTGTCATAAAATGAAAACTTGAGGCCAGGGGAGGGGACAATAGAAGAATTTCTGTATTGCTACTTCAGGTTTTATCATTTATTTATTCATATGTGACATGATGAATAGCACATGAATGCACTGGCTGCCATGTTGTCAAATGATGAACCCTTGTGGGTTTTGTAAGCATCCTTAACTATAACTGCCAATATGCCCATCATGCAGAGCTATCAGTTTAACCAAATTTACACATCTTATTAATCCAGCAATTTTGTGACATAATTCTTGACATAGAACGAGTCTCAATCTAGGAGAGAAATTCACAATTCTCAACAACATTCTCAAATACTCTCAACAATCATCCCATAATCATCATAAGCAAAGGCTAAATTGTTTAACCGCATCAATTGAATACATGGAAAACAAGAAATCTACAATCTTATGATAACTCTATCTCCTAAAGATGACTCAATGATAAATCCAAACTCTTGATAATAAACTTCCTGTATGATCCTATATAAACTAAAATGCTTACAAGATAAATACAATAATCAAATGACAATAAATAAATAAATTTTTGAATAATCACACGATACTCCATCAATACTATGGCAAGTAGGAAAATAGGAGTGACAAAAGATCCCATTTCCATTGCAAGATACAAGTCATTGGATAGCCAAATAGATATTAGAATCCATAACAGGATAGCTCAATTGCACCATGGACCTATTCAAGACTAAAATATAACCTGGAACGCATGGATTGCTGTTCTGAGAATATGTCAATGTTTTAATTAAATACATCTGATAGCTTAGCAATAAATCATGTAAATTGACCTGTACTGTATATAATAAGAAAAGGCTTAAGTAATCGAGAAGAACTTTAACCTCCAAAATAATTAATCATGTATTCAGACCAGTTTATGAGAGAAAAAATGAATTTTCTCTGTTTAAAAAGCATTCCTGGATGGTTTGCATGGAAGCGAAATAAAATCAAACAAGTATTCCAACAATGAACCAAAGTTGAAAGGAAGAGAAAGAAGTGACAAACTCTGATAGGGAAGTCGTGATACATAATTACATATATTCCTAAGAGGATGAAGCAAAAGCACATAGATGGCTGTTGTTTTCAACCAATATTTTTCCAGATATTTTGGGTAAAAAGGAATGGGCATAGACTGTTCAATGCTCAAGCACTAAGATTCTCACCAAATAAACATGGGTATTGTGAGCACAAATTACTGGGGGATATTTTTCAACAAATAATGATTAAAAAAATGAATGAAAGAAAAAAGAATTAGTGGCAGATCTACATGTTGAGTCATATGGGCAATTGCCCCTGCATTCTTATAATAAAAGAAAGTATTCATATAATTCTTATTAGTGCCCCTATTAACTTCAAGGATTTAACCACTCGAAGTTAGAAACTTTGATTAATTTTTTTTAACGCAAAATGATTCGCCCCTTACCCCCCAGATGCAAAAAATTTCAACTTTTAAGTAAAATTTTGAAATTGACTTAACGAAAAAATAAAATACTAAAATGAAATGTGTTTGAAGTTCAAATGAACAAAATTCTTGATCTAAATAGATGTTTGTGCATACATATTGCATCCACCAAACAACAGTGGTATGAATAAGGTGGTCCAACACTGAAATTCCAAGGTGTCTCAACAAAGATAGGGTGCTTGAAAGATCACTTCGAGGAAGTTCTTCTAACATACCAAAAATGTTCAGATAGTTTCTGTATTCTTTTCTTAGGACAATGTTTCCGATTCACAGGTTACCAATTAATTAATGAAAACAATAATTCATTAATTCAAACACATCCCTCACATGCTCATATGTGAAATCAATAACTGAAAGCCGTCTTTATTGAGCATTTCAATGGCAACTACAATTGGGCATCTTAAACCATCCTTAGGGCCAGACGTGCCAGTGTTTTTCTTTATTTTTAAATCCTTCAAACTTCTCCAAAACATTTCAAAATGTTTCCAAAACTTTTCCATTTCTACGCCAAGGAAAACAACACAATGAAATGAAATTTTGGTCCTTGCAAAATGGTAAAATATTTTGTGTATCTTTTTTCCTAGGGAAGTACTTCCATTCAAAACAATAACTTGCAAACTAATTAATGCAACCAAGATTTTGATCCATTCAAACATATCCCTTAGAAGATCACACATGAAAATGAAATCAATACCTGAAATCCATCTTTATCAAGCATTTTAATTGCAACTACAATTGGGTCTCCCTTTCCATCCTTAGTCTTGATTGAACCCTTGTAGACGCTCCCGAACCCTCCTTCCCCAATCTTAAGCAACCTATTGAACCCATTAGTTGCTTGTCTAAGCTCTGAAAACGAAAATACCCTCAAGTTTTGAGCCTTCTCCTCATATAGTTCGGGAATACTGCGTGATGAAGCTGCCGAGCATGAAGACTTAATCACCCTCTCTGCCCCTGACATATCAGATTTGGTCTGCTCTTTCAGAATTGGCTCTGATCTTTGCTCCCTAGTCCTAGTTCTATCATCCTTGAAGTAATCCCTAGTTCTAGTTCTACCGTCCCTGAAGTATTCCCTAGTTCTAGTCCTGTCCTTGAATATAAGGAAACACTTCATTGCTTTCAGAGTAACAGGGATTTCCAAGATTAAGTATGACCCTTTTACTCTGCTCCTGCTAGCAAAACACGGAAACAACAATCAACAATTTGCGTCTGTGTAAGGGGTAGAAATAAAGAGAGAAATAGATTTGGAATTCAATATGGATCTATAATATTTAATGTGACTTTTCATTCAGCTCCTTCTAGCAAAGCACAAGGGCAAGAATGAACAGTTTGTTCTGGGGGGTGTTTGTTTCCAACTAGGTAAAGGAAAACGACAAGGAAATGAATAATAGCACTTGTTCGGTAAGAACACATGTAGGCATATAGAGAGGGAGAGAAGGATCTATACGCAAACTAGAATAGAACCCTCTACAAAGCGCAAATTTCTACAGAAACCAATGAAAGAAAAATGCAGGAAAATCAAAGCGAAAACGAAATGGACAAACTGATGAGAAAGAAAATTTTAAAAGAGAAAAAACCACACGAAATGAGAAGTCAAAGCTCCAAGAGTAAACCGGGGAGACAAGAAGGTAGAAGAAGCCAAGAAGATAAAAATCAAAAATCAAAAATCCCGAAGCTAAACATTCACTTAGAGGTAAGAATAAAGGATGAAACTGAAACGCCCGAAACAGAAATTCGTAGAAAGAAAACGTTGGCGAACTTAGTAGCGAAAGCAAGGACGACCCAGATGGGGAAAACGATTCAATCAGATGGCCACCCGAGGAAAACAAGAAAAACAGCCATTTACAGAAGACAAGAAAGAAGAATTCAAGGTAAAAAAAACGCAGAGAGAGATAAAAATTTTACTTGTCTTGCTTCTTTATTTGTTCAATGGCTTGGACTTTTTTTGTCAGTAATGGATTTGAAGACGTTCTCACATCAATTACTTCTCTTTTTTTCTGCTTCTGGTAACCATGGTACGGACTTCAAGCCTTTCTCGCTCTTCCTCTTTGCATATACATGTATGATATGTACGTATATCTGCGTATAGTTCGAGAAGATGAAGCGACGGGTCCCGGAGCTGATCTGAGAAGGCCCACGACAGAACCGTGTCAATGCCATCGCTTTCTCTGACCTTCAAGATGAAGCTCAAAGCTGCTTTTTAGCTGGCGGCCAGTCAAAATTGGGTATTGAGTTTGGCCTTCGTTGCCGCTGTGCCTTAACTCGGGAACAGTTGATTTTTTAATAAAACATTTACAGCTACAAATTAGTTTTGATACGCTGTAATAAAAGTTAAAAAATGTAAAATAAAAATAATTTCACGAAAATATTTTATTAGCTTAAAAAATTAAATTTTTAACAAAAATTCTAACAGTCGGAAGTCAGAATTTAGTGTGGAATTATAAAAGTCTAAAAAAGTCGATTTTATAGAGCAATTTATTTTTAAATATTTTCTCGCGAAAATCTAATTTTTCATATATAAACTAATAATAATAAATCAAATTTTTATATCATTTTAAGGATATTTGAAATTTTATAAAAATCTTAATATCATATTTTCTTATAAAAAGTCAACTTTTTATACAAATCCGACACCACAAAAGTTAACTTTTTATATTATTACAAAAAATATAATTTCAAAAACACTCGAATACTAAATAATCCTTTATTCTTAATTATTTACTAAAGGCGGTTTTTAAAAAATAAAAAATTTTCATTGTTGGTTTTGAGTGTATATATTTTAAATAAACGGTTACCTAAAACCCAAAAAAAGCAAAAGTTAACTTTATAAAAGATCATGATTACATCATAAGTTAGGTAAAGCTTGGCATTTTAAAAATGTTAATAACGTCTTCCTAATATTTAATTCAGGTTTTTTTCTAAAGTTGTAATGACCCGAATTTAGAAATTTTGTTATTCAGGGACTTAGTTGTAGAAATTAATTTGTCGGGGGGTTGGAGTGAAAATACTCAGGGACTGTTCTGTGATTAGCATGAAGTCCAGGGCTGATCTGCAAAATTTCCGGAAGTCTGACAGGAACTGCGTTCTAATGATTCCTCCGCTGGATTTGCAGGTTTTGGGCAATGATGTTGGCGTGTCTCGGCTTCCTCGCGTGTGTTTTTGAAGCCCTTACCGAACCCCTCAAATGATTCAACTTTGGAGCAGCGATTGAGGAAAGATTTCAAGCTTTTGGACTTCGTCCCGTCGCGTGTGGCCGCAGGAGAGTTCCGGGATTTGGGAGCTGTTTCTCGCCTTTCTACTCCGTTTGATCGTTGCTGGGGGTCACCGGGGTCGGTGCCGTGCTTTGGGCTGCTTGATCGGCCGAGGTAAGCCGTCTTGCCTACCTTGTTCTTCGTTTTTCCCGACGGGGGAGTTGCAGGCAACCGGTTGAATACCCGGTTGCTGGGTGAAAGAGACGGACCCGGAAGGGTCCGGGTTCGTGTGTTGGGCAGCCCAGGCCGTTCGGCCTAGGCTCAGCCAGTGGGCTGGGCGGCCGCGGGCTTGAACTGCGGGCCAAGCAAAAAAAAAAAAGGGGGTTTGACTAAACCGCGGCCAGAGGGTTGACCGCCGTTCAGTGGCCAAATCAACTTGGAATTTGGTTTTTGACTGGTTCTGGATTCAGGGGGATGAAACCTATCAAACCAAGTGGGTTCGGGAAATTTTGGGTGACCGGTTTGAGGTGAATCACCTCGTTTTGTGTGCCGATGATTAGGGTTTGAGTTCTTGGACGGTTCATATTGGTTCCTAGGTTTTTGGGGCCTCTGAATCCATTTTCGAGGGTTCGTGCCCGTTTGAGTTGAGCTTGAGGTAGTTTTAGGCCAGCTAGGCCGTTTGGGGGTCGTTAGGGGCTGGTTCGCTGTGTTTGGCAGACTGTGGAGAGTAGTTCTGTTTTGGATTGAGGGTTTTGAGCTAGTTTATTGTGTGTTGAGAGTCACGTAGATTTCGGTGGCCAGTCTCGATGTCTCGAGATGCGTGCCAGAGTGTCGATTCTGGTTTTGAGCCGGTTTGAGGCTACGGGGCCTGTTTCTTGTACCGAGTTTGAGGTTGTTATATTTCTGTGTGGTTTTGTTTTTCAGATATGTCTGAGGAGGTACACCCGGATCGGCGAGACGGGTGAGGGTGATCAGGACTTCGTTCTTGACTCGATTTTTGTACTGTGAGTGACGATACCTTTTCTATACTTGTGTTCCATACTGTTTTATTGGCATGTTGATTATGTGACTTCTTAACTATATCTGGACTATGTATGTCCTTGTGTACTATCAGTGAGTTGTATTGATATGTTATTATGAGATTTGGAATATGAATCGTATGTGCTTATGTATACTGTTTGTGACCGATGTGTAAGGATGGTACCACATGATGTGATTTGGACAGAAGGAGCTCGGCTGGACGTACGGTGACCCGTTAGTGTCCGTGGTGAGTCGGCCTGAGTCTTGTTGAGGCAGCAGGGGCTGCGAGTATGATGTGCACATTGATGACGTGTCTGGGATGGCAGGCTCAGCCAACGGACGGTGGGCCGTAGTGTACGGGGAGTGCTTGGTTTCCGTGTGGGGATGACTTTTGGGATACCGAGGACTCGCCCGCATGCGGTGTGCTGCCGTAGCGTGCGGGAGTATTCTGGCCCAGTGGATGGGATGTGATGGGTTAGTTACAGTGATACTTTGCATGTTTATTTACATATTACTGCTCACTGTGATTACTTGTGTATATGTGATATTTGTTTGAGCCATGTTGCATACTTTAGCATGTATAGTCTAGGTATCGTCTGTACTCACTAAAGTCTCGCGACTTACAGTTTTAATTTTTCAGATCTGACTTGCTGTTCTTATCTCGGTTAGCGCGCCAGAGTCAGAGTTAGGAGTGGCAGCTTTATCGATGTATGGGCATATTTCCTTTTGTATTAATTTCTGTATTTTAGAGTAGCTCTTTTGAACTTTTAGACAGATCTTGATATTCTGTATGAGGACAGCGTACCGTGATTTATATAGTATTAAGTTGTTATATTGGTTGTTTCGAGGCTTACTAGGGCTAGTGGACCCTAGTGCCGGTCACTGTGCCGGGTCGAGGCGTGACAAAAGTTTAAAATTAAAATTTTGGATTTAGCTTTTATAAAACCTGAATTATAACATCCGAAGATTTTAAAATTTATCGTAACAAATACTTGTTTGATTTCAAAATTGTTAGTTTATTATCTAAATTTAGGGTCTTTTTAGATAAAAAAAAAAAATGAACTAGTCAAGAGCAACATAAATAAACTTTTATATTTTTGGTTTTGCAAGTGTTTTGCTTTAGAAAATTGAATGCAGACGTCCAAAAACTAGTTCTTATGATTTTCAAACAATTCTAGAAGAAGCATGCATGCACTTTTTGAAAAATCAAACATTATAACTAGGGAGATCTTATGCATGTGTGAAACTCGTGGCAGCAGATTGTAGCGAGGAATTCTCTTTTTGACTCCAATCATTTTCTTAACTCTCTGGGTCGTATTATAAATGCACGACATAGATCACATTCACTAAAAAAGAAAATTACTTTGTTTTGGTTTGCTAAAAAAGAAAATTACTTTGTTTTGGTTTGAAACTGTTATTACATAGAAGGAATTAATTGATATCGGTGTAATTATAAAAAATTTATACAAAATCTTACATCATTGATTTGGTCAAAATTAACGAATGAAATTAATTACAACTGTCTTTCAATAACTTCCAACAATTAACTTAATTATTGAAAATCATTAAAATACAGTTGTAATTAATTTTACCCATTGATTTTAACTAAATTGACGGTGTAAGATTTAGTGTAAATTTTTTACATTGTTAATTATTAGAAGTTATTGAAAGACAGTTATAATTAATCTTATTCGTTGATTTTGACCAAATCGACGGTATAAAATTTCTACAACCTCATTTATCTATCCTTTTGGGTTCATTTGGCTTTAATGTAAGAACAAGTTCAATAGAAAATGGTGAATTCGGCAAGTCTTCCATCTCTATTTTTAATTCTCTGATACTATTTTTGAGAGTACAGTTTTTATATTTTATAAAAAGTAAATTTCATAAGTTAACAGGAAAAGTGAATATTTTATTTATATGTTTGAAAATTCAAATATGAGAGTTTAGAACATCTATGTTTTTCTTTAGGATATATGATTTATACGTGGACAGACAGGAGAGAAGTAAGATTTTAATGGTCAGTTTGAGAATTAAGAAGGGAAATGAAATAAAAAGATTTTTATATTTTTTTTCTTTTTGTTTGGATAATTGGAAATGAGTGGAGAGAATATAGTATATGATAGTTATTTATTTTTATATTTTTATGTTTAGTTGGGTAACTTCTAATGTTTAAAAATTTTAGGGATAATGATATTTTCTGTTCTTAAATTTATCTAATTTTTGAGAGATTTCAAATGGGCATTGTAAAGGATTTGGATTTTTTTTTTTTTTCAAATCCTCTTTGTTTTGGCTCCTTGTTTCTTTGATAAAACCCAACTCAAACAAGTGATTTGGGGAAAAAATATATAATTTTCCTCTTCTTTTTTTCCTTTTCAATCCCCCAAGCATCTATTAAATTTTGCCGTATTCTCTATTCGTGGAGAAATTTTCCCATTCTTATTTATTTGATCAAATGTGTTTGTGGAGTGCCTTTTATTTCCAAGTTGACAAAATTGTAGTCACCTAGCGAAAAACAAAAAAGCAGAAAAAGGGAACAAGAAGGGGAGAAAAGTTCTTCTTGATCTAGGACATTATGTTAACATTTGCTGACTTATTTTTAGTAGATGAAGATTATAAGAAAATAATTTCGACTTTGAATATCATTTTATTCTATCAAGAATCCATGTCTTTCTTTCTAGATATGATACACTTACGTAGGGGAGTCAGGGGAGGGGGATAGTTTCTACACTTCATCCCTCCAATTGGCCCAGGTAAGGGAAGTGATCTCATTGTAATTACAAAAGTTCCTGACTTCAATTTTTTGAAGTCTTAAACACATACCTCTGTTTTTGAAATTGAATATCAAAAATTCTATTCTTTAGTATTTTTAAAACTATCTCAAAAGTGTATGCTCAAAAAAATAGAACATTTACTTTTGAAATTGGGCAATTTCAAAAGCAAGCTGTCCCACTTCTAAAAATACATGGAAAAGAGGGACCTGCTAACATGGGAATACTTGTTTTTGTTGAATACAGAAACGAAATATAACTACATTAAATATATCAATATATATATTGTACATATATATATATATATATAATACAGAATTTCTAAAACTAGACCCTTTTTCAAAAAACAAAATAGTTGTCAGAATACTGAGAAATTATCTTCCCTGGAAATTGAAAAGAATATGAAAATGAAATAAATAATAGGTATTTCCAGATTATCAGTATCTATGTTGAAATACACAGACACCAAAAAACAGAATATAAATCCAAACAGACCATAGTCTTCATAATCTCTCTTTTTCGGGTAAAAGCAATCTATTATATTAACAATACCTAACTGCAAGATACATTCAAAACCAAAACTTAAACAGAGCATAGTATCTTTCATCGTAAAAATATACATCATCAAAACATTTTCTAAGTCACCTTCGTCCTCTGCAAGACCATAAATTTACTCCTTCCGACTTCTCCGATATGCTCGCTCAACTTTGTCAACTGTGCCACCCTCCTCTTCACTGATTCCACTGGGCCTGTTTGTTTCGGGCTCTCTTCTGAGTCAACCAAGTCATCTTCAACTTCATTGCAGGCGTTATCAGATGGGCCTTCTTCATCCGAGACCTGCACTATCTGCTTCAACCAATCCACCACTTGACTCATCATCGGCCTCTCCTTTGCATTTCTTACTAAACACGAGTCTGCCAACCTGGCAATTCTACGAGCTGCATTGAGAGAGAACTGGTTCTCGAGCCTTCGGTCCATTATCAAGGGAAACTTCTTACTATCTGCGGGGAATTGTTTCACCCACTCTAGAAGCTTCTGCTCTGTTTTGGGGTAGTTTCTTTCCAATGAGCGCCTCCCCGTGAGGATCTCATATAACACCACACCGAAACTCCATACATCACTCTTGGTTGTCAGATGTCCAGTCTGGATGTAGTCCGGAGCGGCATATCCATATGTTCCCACCACCTATTTAAAGACAAGTTCTCCTCATTGTTATCAACAAAAATATATATTCAAACTACAGATATGCTGTTGGAGCTTTTATAAAAGACCCCTAAATCCCATTCTCTAGTTCTCTCCTTACAAAGTCCCTTGTTCCACAATTGTTTCAGTTCAAAAAGAAAATGCTAGATTTTTCGTGAAAAATAAGACCAAAATTAGAGCTTTTCTTAAAAGAAAAGGGCCAATGTTACAGGCTTTTTCCCAAAACAAAGCTGGGGTTTTCCAAGTTGCGGTATGAAATTCACCTTAAATTAAATGCTCTTTTTGTGAGTAACCCAAATACCCAAAACAAAAAAGAGTACTTTTTCTTGAGTGATTAAACGCACAGCCTAATAAAAATGGTGGATTTTAAAAGAGCCCATAAGACAAACAACCGTAAATCATATCAAAGTCTAGAATGAGAAGACGTGTATTATGTTTGTTATTCATCAACACGGCTACAATTGTTGTTTCTTATATAGTTTTTCCATAGTTCATTCATAGACAATTAAGCCTATTTTACCAAAGTAACAATAATAATAACTTAACACTTACTGCTGTTGAGACATGAGTCTGCCCATCTGTCGGCCCCTCCCGGGCAAGCCCAAAGTCTGAAAGCTTTGGCTTGAAATCCTCATCCAGTAGCACATTTGAAGTTTTAAAATCTCGATATATGACCTTATTAAGTAACATAAGCAATCATACATCAGTAACAGTCAATAAAAAAGTGCAGAATTTTTCGTAATTCTTGGAAGTGATTCAAATTGTCATACAGATCTACATTCTAAGGAAATTCTAACCTCAACATTTTCCTTAATCCAAAGCATGCCAAAATAGCCATTCAGAAGGATAAACAAAAAAGGGAAAAAGTAATTAGAAAAGGGGAAAAAAAAAAAAAAAAAAGAGAGATTGGTAAGAAAGCCTCAGCTAAGCAAAAGAAGGAAGCACTCTCTTTAGGGAAATACAAAAATTCAGGTAGATTATGGCTCCATATGCTTTCCAATCATATGGAAAATTTTAACATTGAATCTTCGTGAAAATTCAAAACTATAGGATTTACCCTGAACTTCCCCTTTAATATCCTTCCCTTTGAGATTTCATGCTTTCACAGTGACTGAATGTTTGGGAACTTAAAAGAGGGGGGTAAATAAAAGGAATGAAAGAAAGAAAGAACCAATATTAATTTCTTTCAATGAAGAGAAGAGAACAGAAATGAAGAGGTCCTGATTTATCTCATTGTTTGTGGAGAGAATGTTAGGACATAACAAGTCACTGAATTTGCTTTTTTTCTATTTTTAGTTGGGTAATTTTAGTATTATAAAATTTCAAGTAAAAAGCAATTGTGTTTTCCCTGCAAGTCTATTGAATTTTGGAGGGATTCTAAATCAGTGTTAACAGAGGTTTTGAATTCTCTATGCTTCTCTTTGTTTTCACTCATTTCTGTCATGAAATCTAACCCAAACAAATGATTTGGAAGGAAAGAATCCTAAACTTTTCTCCCTGAATCACTCCATCCAAAAAAGATGTGAAAGTAGATAATGTTCGTACAATGCAGTGCTTAATCACTCTGTCCATATATTTTTTATAATCATAACTTACTCTAACTGAAGGTAGAAGGCTTAAGTTAAAACATATAGGCCTTGTGTAATCCCAAACCAGGGAAATCAAACGAAATTTGATTTCTCAAGTCCGATGTTTAATTTCCCTCAAACCAGGTTTCTCACTTTTTTGAATTTCCTAAACCCAAAAACTGGTTTTCTAAAGCCCACCTCCTAAGTTGAGTTTCAAAAACCAGTTTTTAAATCCCTCTTCGCCAAAACCACTTTAATCCCCTCTCCAAACCCACTTTTAATCCCATCCAATCTCAAACCCTCCACACAGAACAAACTCGAAGGTGGCAAAGTTTTGTGGTAAAACCTGAACTTCTAATTCTTCATGCAAATAAGCCAATCCTTGAGCTGCTCCAAGTACAATTTCCAGTCTCCTTTCCCAAGGAAGAACAGGGAAAGCCTTATTGAAGAGATGATCTTCCAAGCTTTTGTTTGGCATGAACTCGTACACAAGTAGCCGTTGCATTCCTCTTTCTCCATCAAAAGCACAGTATCCAATAAGTTTGACAAGATTTGGGTGCTCCACAACTCCAAGAAATTGTACTTCTGCCACCCATTGTTTATGCCCCTATAATAAACACGAAGAACCATAAGACATTAGCAATCTTGAGACAGCAACATAGAAATCTTTTGCAGCTATTATAACTAAACAAAATGTCATTTCTACATGTTAATACCTAATGTCCAGCACATAGGCTGCACAACAGGGCAGAAATGAAATATACATCAGTAAGAAATAAATAAATAAGACATAGCTTATGTGATATTTTTAACCAATTCACCACGCTCCACATTACATTCATAAAGTCACAATTTAAGAATAACTCTCATGGGTAGAAGTTTGCTCAAGAATTTGGTTCAATCGCGGTGTTAACACATCAGATGAATTTGCATCATGAAGGCCAACCACATATATAATTTCTTTGTTAATGAATAGCAAAGGAGACTGAGCAAAAGCAAAGAATAGGATTTCCCCTTTCCATTAACATTTTTTCATATTGTCATTCAGATACACAAATAAAAGAAATTATTTAAGAAAACTAATTGCAGATTCAGCAATCTTACTTTCCCTCAATGCTTCAAAGTCAAAAGTTTGATCCTAAACCAAGTTGTGCTATGGCACGATGCTCAAATGTTACCCAATTGTTCAGTTAGAGAGTGGATACAAAATACTATTATCTATCCAAAATGCCCCAGTTGCCCAAAAAGCTGAAGATGCAAGTTACTTAATAGCTCAATAGTACCAGTATACCATTTCTAATGTGCTCTTGACTGTTTCCCATTTTGAATCTCCTAAAGCTTTGTTACTACATTGAATCTGAATTTATTTTAAGCACTTACTTCCCCACTTCCTACATCCCAATTGCTTTGAAACCACTAATATTGTCATAAAATGAAAACTTGAGGCCAGGGGAGGGGACAATAGAAGAATTTCTGTATTGCTACTTGAGCTTTTATCATTTATTTATTCATATGTGACGTGATGAATAGCACATGATTGCACTGGCTGCCGTGTTGTCAAATGATGAACCCTTGTGGGTTTTGTAAGCATCCTTAACTCTAAATGCCAATATGCCCATCATGCAGAGCTATCAGTTTGACCAAATTTACACATCATATTAATCCAACAATTTTGTGACACAATTTTTGACATGGAACGAGTCTCAATCCAGGGGAGAAATTCACAATTCTCAACAACATTCTCAAATTCTCAACAACATTCTCAAATTCTCTCAACAACCATCCCATAATCATCATAAGCAAAGGCTAAATTGTCTGATGCATCAATTGAATACATGGAAAACAAGAAATCTACAATCTTGTGATAACTCTATCTCCTAAGGATAACTCAAAGATAAGTCCAAACTCTTGATAATAAACTTCCTGTATGATCCTATATAAACCAAAATGCTTACAAGATAAACACAATAATCAAATGACAACAAAATAAACTTTGAATAATCACACGATACTCCATCAATACTATAGTAGGTAGGAAAATAAGAATGATAAGAGATCCCATTTTCATTGCAAGATACAAGTCATTGGATAGCCAAATAGATATTAGAATCCATAAGAGGACAGCTCAATTGCACCATAGACCTACTTCGAGACTAAAATTTAAGCTGGAACGCATGGATTGCTGTTCTAAGAATATGTTGATGTTTTAATTAAATACATCTGATAGCTTAGCAATAAATTGTGTAAATTGACCTGTACTGTATAAAAGAAGAAAAGGCTTAAGCACTCAAGAAGAAATTTAACCTTCAAAATAATTAATCGAGTATTCAGACCTGTTTATGAGAGAAAAAATGAATTTTCTCTGTTTAACGAGCATTCCTGGATGGTATGCATGGAAGCAAAATAAAATCAAAAAAGTACTCCAACAATGAACCAAAATTGAAAGGAAGAGAAAGAAGTGACAAACTCTGATAGTGAAGTTGTGATACATAATTACATATATTCCTAAGAGGACGAAGCAAAAGCACATAGATGGCTCGTGTTTTCAACCAATACTTTCCAGGTATTTTGGGATAAAATGGAAAGGGCATAGACTGTTCAATGCTCAGCACTAAGATTCTCACCAGAGAATAATGGGTATTGTGAGTACAAATTACTGAGGGATATTTTTCAATGAATAATAATTAAAAAAAAAATGAATGAAAGAAAGAAAGAATTAGTGGCAGATCTCAATGGTGAGTCATTTGGGCAATTGCCCCCTGCATTCTTATAATAAAAGAAAGGATTCATATAATTCTTATTAGTGCCCCCATTAACTTCAAGGATTTACCCACATGAAGTTAGAAACTTTGATATTTTTTTACGCAAAATGATTCACCCCTTACCCCCCAGATGCAAAAAATTCAACTTTTGTGTAAAATTTTGAAGTTGATTTAATGGAAAAATAAAATACTAAAATGAAATGCGTTTGAAATTCAAATGAACAAAATTTTGATCTAAATAAATGTTTGTGCATATATATTGCATCCACCAAACAGCAGTGGTATGAATGAGGTAGTCCAACATTGAAATTCCAAGATGTCTCAACAAAGATAGGGTGCTTGAAAGATCACTTCAAGGAAGTTCTTCTGACATACCAAAAATGTTTAAATAGTTTATGCATTCTTTTCCTAGGGACAATGATTCCAATTCACAGGTTACCAATTAATTAGTGCAAACAACATATGATTAATTCAAACACATCCCTCACATGCTCATATGTGAAATTAATAACTGAAAGCAGTCTTTATTGAGCATTTCAATGGCAACTACAATTGGGCATCTTAAACCATCCTTAGGGCCAGACGTGCCCGTGTTTTTCTTTCTCTTTAAATCCTTCAAACTTCTCCAAAACATTTCAAAATGTTACCAAAACTTTTCCATTTCTACACCAAGGAAAACAACATATTGAAATGAAATTTTGGTCCTTGCAAAATGGTAAAATATTTTGTGTATCTTTTTTCCCATGGAAGTACTTCCATTCCAAACAATAACTTGCAAACTAATTAATGCAACCAAGATTTGGATCGATACAAACATATCCCTTGGAAGATCACACATGAAAATGAAATCAATACCTGAAATCCATCTTTATTGAGCATTTTAATTGCAACTACAATTGGGTCTCCCTTTCCATGCGTAGGCTTGATTGAACCCTTGTAGACGCTCCCAAACCCTCCTTCCCCAATCTTAAGCAACCTATTGAACCCATTAGTTGCTTGTCTAAGCTCCAAAAACGAAAATACCCTCAAGTTTTGAGCCTTCTCCTCGTATAATTCAGGAATACTGCGTGATGAAGCTGCCGAGCATGAAGACTTAATCACCCTATCTGCCGCTGACATATCAGTTTTACTCTGGTCTTTCAGAATTGGCTCCGATCTTTGCTCCCTAGTCCTAGTTCTATCATCCTTGAAGTAATCCCTAGTTCTAATCCTGTCCTTGAAGATATGGAAACACTTCATTGCTTCCAGAGTAAAAGGGATTTCTAAGATTAAGTGTGATGTGACCCTTTTACTCAGCTCCTGCTAGCAAAACACAGAAACAACAATCAACAATTTGCGTCTGTGTGCGAGAGAGAAATAAAGAGAAAAATAGATTTGGAACTCAATGTGGATTTTCAATATTAAATGTGACTTTTCATTCAGCTCCTTCTAGCAAAGCACAAGGACAAGAATGAACAGTTGTGGTGCGTGAGAAGTGTTCTGGGGGGTGTTTGTTTCCAACTAGCTGACGCAAAACGACAAGGAAATGAATAATAGCACTTGTTCGGAAAGAATACATGCAGGCATATGAGAGAGAGAAGGATCTATACGCAAACTAGAATAGAACCCTCTACAAAGCACAAATTTCTACAGAAACCAATGAAAGAAAAATGTAGGAAAACCAAAGAAAAAACGAAATGGACAAACTGATGAACGAATGCAAATAGCTGAGGAAATTTTAAACGAGAAAAAACAGCAGAAAATGAGAAGTCAAAGCTCCAAGAGTAAACCGGGGAGACAAGAAGGTAGAACAAGCCAATAAGATAAAAATGAACCGTCAAAAATCCGAAGGCTAAACGTTCACACGGGTAAGAATAGAGGATGAAACTGAAACGCCCAAAACAGAAATTCGTAGAAAGAATACTCTGGCAAACTTAATCACGAAAGCAAGGACGTCACAGACGAGTAAGACAATTCAATCACACGGCCACAAGAGGGAAACAAGTAAAACAGATACATACAGAACACAAGAAAGAACAATTTGAGGTATAAAAACGCAGAGAGTTAGAATTTTACTCTTCCTGCTTCTTTTCTTCGTGAATTTGTTCAACAGCTTGGACTTCTCTAATCAGTGATGGGTTTGAAACCGTTCTCACATTAATTACTTATCTTTTCTTCTGCTTCTGGTAACCATGGTACGGACCTCAAGCCTCTCTTGTTCTCTCTCTTTGCGCGCGCGCGCACACACACACACACACACATATATATGTATGATATGTATGTATATATGCATATATATGAATTGCTATCTTGGTGATGGAGCCAGGAGTTCGAGAAGAACAAACGATGGGTCCCGAAGCTGATCTGAAAAGGCCCATGATAGGATTTTGTCAATGCCATCGCTTTATCTGACCTTCAAGATGAAGCTCAAAGCTGCTTTCGCTGGCCGGCAGTCAAAATTTGGTTTTGAGTTGACCTTCGTTGCGGTTGTAAGTATTAACCTATGAACAGCTATAAGTTAGTTTTGATACACTGTGATAAAAGTTAAAAAAATAAAAACAAAAATAATTTCACGAAAATATTTTTATTGGCTTAAAAAATTAAATTTTTAACAAAAATTCTAACAGTTGGAAATTAGAATTTGGTGTGGAGATAAAAAAAAGTCTTAAAATTTTAATTTTATGATAAATTTATTTTTGAATATTTTCTCACAAAAATATAAATTACAATAAATAAAAATAATTTTTATATCATTATAAGCATCTTTGAAATTTTAAAAGTCAATGTCATATTTTCTTATAAAAATTCAACTCTTTTATACATATCACGCACCATAAATGGTAAATTTTTATATCATTACAAAAAAGTTTTAAATTCAAAAACACTCGAATACTGAATAACCCTTTATTCTCAGTTATTTGTTAAAGGTGGTTTTTAAAAAAATAAAAAATGAAATACTGTTTTTCTTTTCTCTTTTTTCTTTTTTGGTTTCGAAAGTATATGCTTTAAATAGACGGATACTTAGAACCCAAGATGTCAAAAGTTAACTTTAATAGAAGATCGTGCATGGCATGCATCATAATTTAGGGAAAGTTTGGCACTTTTAAATTTGTAAGGACCAAGTATACTAGTATTTTAATTTGGGTTTTTTTCTAAAGTTTAAAATTAAAATTTGGATTTAAATTTTTTATAAAAAAACTCAATTATAACATTTAAAAAATCTAAAATTTATAATACCCAATACTAGTTTGATTACAAAATTGTTAGTTCATTATTTAAATTTAGGGTTTTTTTCAGATAAAAAAATGAATTTGTTAAGAGCAAATTACAATAAGCTTTTATATTTTTGGTTTCACAAGTGTTTTACTCTAAGAAATTGAATGCAAAAGTCCAAAAACTAGTCCTGATTTTTAAAAAATTCTATAAGAAGCATACACCTTTTGAAAAAGCAAATATTATAACTAGGGAGATGTCACGCGTGTAGGAAACTTGAGGCAGGAGATTGTAGAGATGAATCTTCTTTTTTACTCCAACCGTGAAACTCATGGCAGAGATTGTGAGGTGAATCCCTTTCTGATTTCAATCATTTTCTTGACTTATAAGGACTCAATTGATAGACTGAATTAAATAAAGTACAATATGACAGCATTTGGATAAAGTTATTTAATGTATAATATTTTAAATTATTATATTATATTTATTAATTTAATAAAAAATTAGATAAATTACTAAATAAATATATAAAATACTAAATTATTCTTTTACTTTTTTTTGGTGACAATTGACAATAATGACAAGTGATAGTGGGTGATGAGCCTCAATGACAACTGGTAGCAAGTGAAGGTGAGAGGAGATGGGTGGTGCACAATAATAAGCAGTGATAGTAGCAGTAACAAGAGATGGTGAGCAACAATGATAGTAATGGCAGATGGTGGTAGCGAGTGGGGATAGGCGGCAAGTGATAATGGTGGGTGATGGAAAGTAGTGGTGGCAAGTGGCTGGCAATATACTGAATAAGAATTGTATAAATTATCTCACCCCTCCTCTAATATGGATTATTTAAATGTAACTAGATAATTGTCCTACTTAAATTTTTTATTCAACTTCATTATCTAATTTGTCAAATATTAGATTTAGAGAATGTCAAATAAAAGCAGATAATTTATCCTTATATCTAATTTATTAAATAAGTTCTGAGTACTCAACAATAATCACATTTATATATTAAAAAACAAGTGTTTTGTTTTAGTTTTGCAACTCTAGTTACATCTGAAATGATGAACAATATTATCAAATCAAATGACCCAACAAAATACAAATACCTAGTCCCCAATCCATTTTTTTCAATTAATTATCAATTAGAAATATGATCTATCTGATTTAAAATTTAACAATAAATTTAACTTGTAATATAATTTATTTATGTTATTAAATTTAATCAATTATTTGGGAAAGTTTACCTTTTTAGTCCACAAATACCTTGCAATTATAATTGAAGCACTATTTAATTAGAATTTCAAATTATTTGTTTTGTTTTTACTCTTTAGCCCCGTTTAGTGAGAGAAGGATCGATCAATTTTTGAAATTATTTCGATATTTGAAGGGCAATTTGGGTATAATGAAATTTTGATGGCCGCCATCTCCATGGGAGAGCTGTCAGCTCAGAGTTGACGGAGATGGAAGCGAATGGACGGGGAACAAATGAGCTTTCTTTCAGTGCAAGGTCAGAAAACATCGGCTTCATTTGGGTGTTGTTTGTAGAAAAAGATCATTATCAATGTTAACCATTGTTATCCTCTTCTAGATATTTGATTCCGGATTCTTGGTTAGGTTTGTTTTGAACTCGGACCATCAAGCGACTCCATTTTTGTGGGGACGTGTAAGTTGACCTTCCTACCCCCACCGCCCTCTCTCTCTCCTCTCTCTAGACAAAAGGCAAAAACTCAAATGTGATTCTCAAGCCTATTGACTCTCACCATTTAAAAATTACATAATTTCATACAAATGGTCTGACTTTATTTAGTTGTGAAGGTACATTTAAAACTAAAATTTTATTAAACTTTCTATTAAAAAAATTAGAGATTTAGTTATGCTATATATATGTGTGTGTGTGTATATACATACATAGTCTTATCTCTTATAATAAGAAAATAATCTTAATTTAGTTCAGTAAAATGTGGGTTTCCAATGTCCGATGATATATATTCATACCATATAATATAAGGTGTGATTCCATTCTTTATAAATTGAATTAGATTAAAAAAAAAGTTTTATTAATTTGAAAAGTAATCTAAATTTGACTTCCTGTAAATTAAAAAAAACTGATAACACATTGTTTGAAAACACAAGCGCACATTAAATTTGACATTTGCAGGTTATTGTTAGAGATTTACTTAAACAGTTTACTATTACCAAATTTTGAAAACATCCAAAAAGAAAAAAAAAAACCATCACTTCAAAAATCAATTTTATTTTTCACGTGGAATAGACAGAACTTAAGTATCTTGAGGGCATTTAATATTCTACAATAAAAAACTTGTGAATTTTTTAAATTAGGGTTTTTTTTTTAGTTTAAAAGTCTTCAAGTATTCTAGAAACCTAAAAGCTTTAATTTTAAATTTTTATTTAAAACCAAATTTGAAAGTTCAACATTTTTTTTTTTGTTACAAGAGGGCTAGAGGCCTAGGAAAAGAAAAACAAAAGCTAATACGCTACAAACCCTGAAAAGTAGAAATTTTCATAGAATTTTAGAGGAGATAACTCCTCAAATAATCAGGGCACACACCCAATTAGTCAATTCAAAATCACGAGACAGACTAAATTTGTCCGTAAAATTAGTATATCTATTAATATCACTCACTATATGCTTAATCTCTATCTTTCACTCATTGCAAAATAAGTACTTAATTTTTGTCAAAGTTAGGACCTATATAGATGAGAAGGTATTCTTCCCTGTGAGCAAATAAGCAAGAATTTTAAAGTCTAATTCTAGAATAACCTTCTTATAACTAAGATTTTAGGCTATTTTAAATAATTTCCAAACCTCTCACGCTTTCGCCCCAAAAACTAATGCCTCTCTAATTTTCCTAGGAAAGTCCTTTAACTTACACTCCTTTGTGGGACCTTAGGAGGGCCCCACACCAAAGGCATAAACTCAAACGTGGTTCTCAAACTTATTGACTTTCACCATTTAAAAATTATATAATTTCATACAAATGGTCTGACTTTATTTAGTTGTAAAGGTACATTTAAAACTAAAATTTTGTTAAACTTTCTATTAAAAAAATTAAAGAAATAGTTGTGCTATATGTATATGTGTG